GGGAGGGAGGCTAGGCCGTCGGGGCCGTGTGCTGCGGCCTAGTGGCACAGGGGGCTTCCCCCCTTTTCATTTTTTATTTTAGCTTTCTTTTCTGTTTTCTTTTTATATTTTCTGTTTTGTATTTTCTTTAGCCACTATTTGGGTTTGTAAAAATATGGGAGTTGGCTCCATAAATACCATGCAATATTTTGCACTGCTGTAAAATGGTTGGAGTAATATTTGAAAACATTTGATTTTTGAGTAAAAGCAAATGGATTAAAGTGGCTATTTTAGCCACTATAGGTGATAACTTTTGAATAAGCAAACAAGCGACCTAGTTTTTCTCCACCATAAATAACTATGGATTATTTGCCATCACATGAACTTTTTAGTTTTATTATTTATGAATTTCTTAATTTCAGCTATAATTTGAATTTGAATTCAAAGTGAAATTTGAAATGAGACTTGGATCAAAGGTGATCAAGCACTGTTTGGCAAAATGATTTAGCTTAATCAGAGAGGTTACTGTAGATCATTACACATGGGTGTTACAAACGGTTGGAGGAGAACGTGCGTATGTTGTCGTTTCCACCACCGACCACCAAGGCCCACACCACCCAACCCATTTACCAGAGGGACCCACCCAGTGGGAGGCGAAGAGACCAAAATCAAAATCCATAGCCTTAATTGGTTTTCAGCCCTCTAAAATTAAGGAGCTTAGTGATATAGAGAATCGGATCATGGTAACTATCACTCGTACAACCACCTACCATTACTCATTGAACAGCCGAGGGCCCACCGTAGAGGCTACATCACTACTGACTAATTTGAAAAATGACATGAGCCATGATTGTCACTATGCCCCATGTAGAGAGGACGTATTCTTTCCTGGCCCATGACTCGCTGTGGGTATTGCGACGAGGCTGAATAGAAAAAGTCTGACAGCACATATACCGGTGACTATACGGACCGCGGTGATACCGAGCTACATGTATTCGGGTTGGCTTGTCTACTATAAGACTTAACAGGACTGCTAAATCATTTTTTTAGTTTCTTTTATATGTTGTGCCACTTCACTACCAAGTCGACTAAAATCTAGCCACACCCAAGACTCATATATGGCAATCTTTTATTTCGCGTGCAATTATTGTGCTTCACACCCTCATTTCTAATCCTGGCTCGTGCGTTCACCCTCAATTAGGTGTAGCATTTTTGCCCCTAACACGGGATTAGTAAGGGGTTAGTGTAAAGGAGAGACCCGTAAGTATAGGATTTCCACGGGAGGAGAGCGGAAGCCGGAAGGCAGAGCGGAAGGAGCATTGCTAATTTGGGCGCGTAAAGCTCTCCTGGCCTCCCACCATGACATCACACCGTACGTTCGCATGCATGTATGTATATATAGAGATAAGCGAGAGCCACGCCTCCTTCATCTTCACAACACAACACAATCTCTCCTCTCCTCTCCTCTCCAAGAGCAGCAGCAATGGCGGCGGTGAAGAAGTACACGGTGGCGCTCTTCCTCGCCGTCGCCCTCGTGGCGGGGCCGGCCGTCTCCTACGCCGCCGACGCTGCCTACACCCCGGCCGCCCCAGCCGGAGCCGCCGGGACACAGCCCAAGGCGACGACCGACGAGCAGAAGCTGATGGAGAAGATCAACGACGGCTTCAAGGCGGCCGTGGCGGCCGCAGCCGGCGTCCCTGCGGCGGACAAGTACAAGACATTTGATGCCACATTCAGCGAGGCCTCTAACAAGGCTTTCGCGGAGGTCCTCAAGGGCGCCGCCGCCGGCCAGTACGCCGGCCAGTCCAGCTCCATGGCCAAACTCTCCAGCAGCCTCGAACTCTCCTACAAGCTCGCCTACGACAAAGCCCAGGGAGCCACCCCCGAGGCCAAGTACGACGCCTACGTCGCCACCCTCACCGAGTCGCTCCGCGTCATCTCCGGCACCCTCGAGGTCCACTCCGTAAAGCCCGCCGAGGAGGAGGTCAAGGGGGTCCCCACCGGCGAGCTGAAGGCCATCGATCAGGTCGACGCCGCCTTCAGGACCGCCGCCACGGCCGCCGACGCTGCCCCGGTCAACGACAAGTTCACCGTCTTCGAGACCGCCTTCAACAAGGCCATCAAGGAGACCACGGGCGGCGCATATGAGAGCTACAAGTTCATCCCGGCCCTCGAGGCCGCTGTCAAGCAGGCGTACGCCGCCACCGTCGCCGCCGCGCCGGAGGTAAAATTCACCGTCTTTCAGACCGCCCTGAGCAAGGCCATCAATGCCATGACCCAAGCCGAGAAGGATGCCGCAGCCACCGCCACCGCCACCGCTGGGGCCAGCGCCGGCGCCACTGCCGGTGGCTACAAAGCCTGAACTCGCCAACACTACACATCGAATCAATGAGCTTTATTGATCAAAGGTTTTGATTACAATCTTGCCATAGAAAATCGGCAAGGAAAGGGGGATGTAATTAAGCCGCAGGCATCTAGGCCTTGACTCGCTCGGCGAGCGGTTTTCCTGATGCATGCTTCCTTCTTTGTATTCGTTTCATGCAGCCGCGAATCGACCGCGTGTGCATGCGCCTGTATAACAATGAAATACATATCCTTATGAAATGTCATCATATTTCGTATGGTATATAGTACTCCCTCTGTCCGGAAATACTTGTCATCAAAATGGATAAAGGGGGATGTATCTAGACGTATTTTAGTTCTAGATATATCTCTTTTTATCCATTTTGATGACAAGTATTTTCGGACGGAGGGAGTATATCGGAGCGAGTTTGATGATGTCAAGTTTTATTTGATTATTAAGTTTTTTTTTTCAAAATACTAAGCATAAAGCATCTCTTTTCTTTTCCAACGAACTAGGAGCTTTATCAATGTATTAAAAGTCGTTACAATCTGCCCGGAGGCTGCTGGATAAGAAAATCAGGGCTACAATCAAACGAACTCTCAGTGCCCTCCTGTGCACGTGCACGTTTTGCACACTGATGAGCCGGCGAATTCAGGTTTCGCCCGACATGGGTAATCGAAAAGGAAGTAAAGCTAGGGACTATCTTATATCTTATATCTTATATTTACTCCTCTCTTATGATTCGTCCTGAATTCTACGGCCGGTTGCTGAGGAAAACATCTGCCCTGCAACCCCTAACCCCTCACGTCGCCGCTCCTCTTATCTCCTCCGGCATGCCCACGCCGTTGAGAACTTCAGCATCATCCACGATGTAGCCCCTCTGATAAAGAAGCCACGATTCAGTCCCTCCTCTCGGCAATCTTTTTACATCTCCTCTCCATGCCAACCTAAGCTTCAAATTCCCACTTTTCAGGACTACAGATCACAGGAAATTGTCACATCAAAGAGAGAAGAAGAGAGACCGAACTGAAGCAGATATTAGTGCGACTGATGGCCTATATGCCTCACCAGCGGCACACAGGCTGTAGCTGGCATGCACGGCGCACGCTGTTGGAATCATAAGAGAGGAGAACACAGTGGGAGCGGGAATTGATGAGAGAGGAGGACAACAGCAGCTACTAGGTCCAAGGAGCAATGGATATGAATAGAGGTCACGGTTCAATCTAGCATCTCCGCGGTATCTTTTTTTTCAGTCGTTAATCTGCTCATATTTCAGGTTCTGACCTGACCACGTACCCGGGCATATATCTTTGAGCTAGGACAATTACTGAATCATCTCCAGATGAGTATAGAAACTGCAGCGGACTGGTGGTGTGGTACCTAATCCCTGCTGTATGGACCATCCACCAAATTCATCACAGAAGACAGAACTATATAGTCGGGAACCGAGCAAGCAGTCCTCTGGACTCCATTGTGTGCCATAAGATTAGGACACATGTCACTGGGGGTGCTCTGCATCGCCTCCAGCAGCAGCGCAAAATCTATATATTAGGGAACCGAGTTAAAAAAATTTACATGGCCTTAAGTACAAGATCGAAGATGGGTTGGTTTCTTTCAAGTACTCCCTCCGTCCGAAAATATTTGTCGGAGGAATGGATGTATCTAGATGCAATTTAGTTTTAGATACATCCATTTTCATTCATTTCTCCGACAAGTATTTCCGGACGGAGGGAGTACATGATAAATGTTGTCCAATTAACATGATGGTATATATCTAATTAATCATCCATCCATTACACAGAGGTACTAGGCTTAGAGATTTAATTTCGTTCATATCTTTATAGTCTAAAACTGTACACTTTTTAGTTGTTATATCAGGTAATCAGATTTAAAGCTATTGACCGCAGAGTTAGCTTCATGTAGCTACGTACATACAAATAATTAATATTTTTACAGATGTTTATGCCTTCATGTTTTAGATGGCATACTCCATTTCTTTCTATATAGGTTATGTCAGGTGCTATTGCCCTAACTTTACTCTACTGTTGCTAAGTATGGTAAATGCATACCGCTCTGTATAATGTTTTTGCAACTTCAAAATACTATGTGTAGGTCTATTTATCACTCTTCGGATTTCCGGGTCAGTACTACGGCTATCTCTTTATAGTGCTTCTAAGAAGTTTTGATACGAGTAATTTCCTCTTTTTCCAATCACGAACTCACATGCTATACGATCATATATACTCCCTCCGTTTTCAAATATTTGTCTTTCTAGGCATTTCAAATGTACTCAACATACGGATGTATGTAGACATATTTTAGAATGTAAATTCACTCATTTTGCTCCGTATGTAGTCACTATTGAAGTCTCTAGAAAGACAAATATTTAGGAACGGAGGGAGTAGTAAATAGTATAGCTGTAGCGCTGCTGCATTTTGATTTTCATATTAAGGGAAGTTGTGATTATACTACCATACAACTACACCGGTTAACGTCGCTGTCCACATGTGCCGAGATTCGCACTGCCGTCTCACCTCGATTAGTAGTCCACTTTGCATTGGCTGTTTCAGCATACCTATAACCCAACGCAACTGGGCAATATACTTGGGACGACATTTGTCCATTGTACTTTTTGTGTCGCATGCATCAAATAGCGGGCATTTTGCATCATTTCATCAATGAAACAATGTAGTCAATCATTTAAACTAATGATAGGAATGCAATTAGAAGTGTGAATTCGGCACATTGCACTAAAGGTTTTATGGTTATCACTTCAGATAAGTTACCAATATATTTCCCTCGACGAAGCCACCATTTCCATATGTATTGCACTATATATACGATGTTAGGTCCAAAGTATGTCATTGTGGGCAACACAGAAAACCAAATATGATATTTTGAAATTAAAAACATAGAACATTCACATATTTTTCTATCTACGGGGCCTATGAGAAAAGATTTCTTAAACCTTCCACAGAGCTTTTTTAAACTTGAAAATGTGCTTCGACAAATTTAACGCATGACATTAAAGCTAAGGAGCAATTTGGGCTTTGTACAATATGATATGCATGACAAATGAGTGTGACCAAGATTTTCGATCATGCATTCTGCAAGCACGCGGTGTTTAGGCTCACACTATCAAAAATTTGCTAGCCCGTGCAGATGCACGGGTTGATGACTAGTATCCTCTAATTCTTATAGGATAGAGGCAGCAACTGAACGGGTATTGTTGTGCGAAGACCAAAAGTCAACTAGCTCAAGTCAGTCTACATGTATTATCACATGCGAGTATCTGCGAAGATGAGAAAATATTTATTATCCCTTACAGAAACGCCAGCAGCTCAGAGGTGAACGGATCTGAAACCCCTGGTAGTGTTTTGCTCCAGTGTGAGTGGGCCACACCTCCAGCCCCACCCTTCATGGTGTCCGCATTAATCGCACCGTCCGTGCTGATTGTCACCCATCCTGGATTAGGTGGTCTCCAGCATTGATCTATTGGAGCCCTCGTGCGGCCAACCGGAAGGTCCAGAAGTGACAAAGCCTCTTTTTTTTTTTGAGAAATGAGGAAATCCCCCGAATTGGATCATAGTCATCCTTGTCGTCTGTCCAATGATTCCGCGATGACCAAATGGAGTGCATAATGGTGACGATCTTGCATCTTTCATCATCACAGAAAATATATACCATCAAGATATCTCTCACCTATGTTTGTGGATAGAGCCTCGTTAAGGCGAAGTTGAACCGATCCTTTGCTGCAATCCAGAACTTCTTGGCATGCGTGCAGCCTATGAGGCAATGCATCGAATCCTCGTTCATGGCTTTGCAAATATCACAGAGCCCAAGAAGTTTCATGTGTCTCTACTGTAGGGTGACCGAATCAGGAAAATCATCTTTTTTTCCGGGAGTTTAATGTCTCTATATACAGTACTGTATCTCTGTACATATTAGACATAATTGTAGTGCATAAATTTTAGTCTACTACCTGCATGCTTCTTTATTGTTCTCTATTGTGTACATTTCAATACTGGAATGTCGGAGTGACTGTTCTCAGTTGCATATTTGTCTTCTTTAGGCAACTCTAACCGATCCTCTAAAAGTTAAAGCAAGATCCGGCTGAGTAAAGTTAGAGGAGTAAAAGTTTCCTTCTCTACAGGTGGCCGCACCCAACCGATCCCCTAGTGGAGTAAAAAATTGTATCTCTACTCCTAATGGAGCAGTTGGTAGGATTGCATTCAAATTTTTTTTGTCCCACCACTTTCGTCTGTTTTTTGACTGGTTTTTTCGTCCTCACCCCATGCACACACGCACCCAAAAAAACCCGCCCCGCACGAAACGAAGGAATATCCGATCAACTCCGCTCCTCTTGATCTTCCTGACGCAACCGCACGAGATCGCCGCCGCCGCCGACCTCACAGAGAAGATGCCACAATCTCGTGCGGCCCCGCTACCTCCGGGATTGGCGTCTCTTGCAGCCACTGACCTTCAGGATCAGGGTCTCTCGCTACCGTTGTGGTCCTGGATCGACGTCGCGAACTGTTGGGAAACGTAGCATGCAATTTCAAAAAAATTCCTACGCTCATGCAAGATCTATCTAGGAGATGCATAGCAACGAGAGGGAGAGAGTGTGTCCATGTACCCTCGTAGACCGAAAGCGGAAGCGTTTTCTCAACGTGGTTGATGTAGTCGAACGTCTTCTCGTTCGGACCGATCGAGTACCGAACGTACGGCACCTCCGAGTTCTGCACACGTTCAGCGCGATGACGTCCCTCGAGCTCTTGATCCAGCAGAGGGTCGAAGGAGTAGATGGGTTCCGTCAGCACGACGGCGTGCTGACGGTGACGGTGACGTTATCCGCGCAGGGCTTCGCCTAAGC